AAGGTAGTCGTGCTCGCTCGAGTGCGGCTCCGAGTTGGCGGCGTCCCCCCAGCACAGGGCGGCGTCCACCTCAGGGTCCATTGCTGCGAAAGGGTTAAATGTCCAACGGTGGTGTGTCCGTCCGTGCGGCCAAGCGACCGGCGAGGAGCAGAGAGCGGCGCGCAGTGCCGCCGAGCCGATCAAACTGTGCTGCTGCTGGAGAGCTCTGCTTGCTGCGTGTGTGCGCTGCGTGCTGCCTATTGTGCTACACACATACACACACCGCACAGCCAGCCAACGCTCGCTGCACTCCCACTAAATTAGCCTGCCTGCCTGCCTTCCTACCCGCTATGCAAAGGGGCGGATGGCACTCCATGAGCAGTGTACCTAAAATCGAATTTAAAATTAGTTCAGTGCAGATGCAAATTTAATTACAAGCATTTTAATCGTTAGTCCAAAGGTTGAAAGTAGAAGCGCAAGGAAAATATTGAAGATTTTGTGTGCAACAATATATTTTTTAAGAATGGAGGAGTTTCAATTTACTTAGCTCTCCCGGTTTAAAATACATACCAGTGGTTTAATCCAAAGCGATAAATTTTATGCCACTGTCCCGGGACAAATATATTTTTTTTAATCCTGCCTCAAATTTTTAATTCTTCATAATGCCTTCAACATTGAATGTGTGTAAAATTTACTAAATTGCATTTGACCCAATGCTCCAGATAGAACTTATCTGTAAATCATTTCATGCAGCAGTTTACATCTTCTTGACAATATTTGATATTTAATTTTTAATTTATTAAGTGATCGTGGTGATTTTCATTAGCTGGTTTAGAATATCATTGAGTAGTTGAGATTTTCCCCAAAAATAATCTAGGCCATCAATAATAATTTCTTCCTTATTTCAAATTTCTGCAAGGTTAAAAGATGTTAGAAAGTTCATCATAGGTCTTCCCTGACACAAAAAATTAAGTATTGTTAAAATTTTAATTCTCATATTTTGAATAAGTATTTTTAATACTTGTTTCTCATCAGGTTGCGCATAGACAAGGCCAAAGATATTATTGAATTGTACTAATTAAGAATAAATAATTAAAATAAATGTGCTTACATTTTTTTATATCAAAAAGTTAAATTATTTGCATGTCACCTGACGCACTTGATACAGACTTGATTCATAATTTTGAAAAATCTGGTTTTATAATTAAAAATTAAAAAAAGACTCCAAACACTGATTCAGATTTTAATTGCGTCATTTGTTTGTTGCAAAAAGACTTGACTTTTAAAATCGAGGCAAGGTCGCATACATATTTGCTGGGGAATCTCCAAATACGCACTATTTGCACAAGCATATTACGATTTTGCACATGTTCCATTTCCATTTAATTACGTCCCTTTGCTACACGTGTTTGTGCGTGTACTGTGGAAAAGAAGTCGAGACCCGAATTCCCAAATACAGGCTCGGCGACGCGGCAATTAAAAAGTTATTTCCATTCCCTTTGCGCTCTTAATCGAAGTTTCATGTTTTGAGAAATGAGAGACGTGTAGTTGCACTGTTGTTCTTTTTCTCATTATTTCGCATGCACCCCACGTGCACCTTGCCTAATTTCCTTCTTCGCGCCGCCGCGCACTGAAAATCCCGCATACACAGCGCTCTGATTGCTCGGATTTCTTTCTTGTTTTGTTTGCCGTGGGACCGCGTGTCTCTGAAAAATTAAGTTGCACACTGTCGCGGGGAGGAGGCACTTGGCTGTTTTCGCCGCAAGACGACGCAAGCGTTTGTTTTTATTGCGCTGAACATGGAAAATCGTTTTAATACGCACTGACCCATGTAAATGGATGTCTTCCTGAGGCGCAGAGACCATTATCACCCGGCGAGAGAGTGTCACATAGAGAGCCGGACGCCTAATTTATATTATATGAGCGCCCTTTTTGCATTTGATACCTCCTTCCCTCTTGTCTCTTAATTGGAATCGCTGCAATTAGCCACTTCCTTCAAAAGCAAGTGGCTTAAGTGGTCAACTCTGATTTCAAAATTTTTTCCTAAACTTTTTGAATCACTTTTTAGGTTACTATCATGCTATTTAGTAAATAAGAATTTAGCTCGTAATTGAAATTTTAAAAATTTAAAAGTTATAATTATTAATAATAATATTGATTATTTTTTTTAGAGCATGATATTTTTTATCATTATTTCGTTACTATTTTTTTTTAAATAATTTTTTGTTTACCTTTAAATGTAGTGATTTAGAGTCAGCATAATTATTTTAGTATGTATACATTATTGGAGAGTTAATTAGTAATGGAAATGTACATACATATAGAATCAAGTATCATCATTTTTTAACTCATTGGGCATTCATTGAATGGCTCATTTTCATCAAATTTCACCTTACTAAATAGATTTTGATCACAGTACCAATTTAATTTTGATTGTATTTGATTTTATGAATTGCATTATAAGGTTATAATTGTTAGCAAACTTAAAATATATTTAATATATGTCAGATGGAATAATTTTCCAAGTAACTTTACCATAGTCTTTTATCTAATATTTTTATACACGAATTTATTTTATGGTAATTTTCTACGTTGTATCCAAATATTTTTCTATTCGTTTTGGCCTTTATGTTGTTCTACATGCATATGTATGAATGCAGCAGAGAGAACTAAACGCTTTTAATTAAAAGCCACCAACAATATTTGTACGGCTTATGTGAGACCATGGTGAGTGTGATGATTGTGTGCAGTGCCGTCCATCCAAACTAACATACGTTTCGCGCTAATTAAATTTTATTTCTCCCTCTCTCATTGCCTCCATCCCTCGCCCTGCACAGTCAAATTTGTACATTTGCGGCGGAGGAATAATTGATGCCGCTTCAAATTGACGATTGAGAAAAATGGTCGGTACATAAAGGATGGAAAATAATTCCGCTGCATCGTCCTGCATTATTTTTCTGTGGTGATGGTTGTCAGTATAAAATAAAGTATAAAAGCTGCAGATCGAGTGCGTTTTCACACGGGACGCTTGTGAGCCACAATAACCACTCTGCGCATCTCGTCTAATTTTCATACACACAATAAAGTATCCGCGCGGTTATTGATTTCCTGAACATGCACATATTTTATGGCATAGATTGTACAGGATATGGGAAATATTATATAGGATGCTAATTGGCGTGGCATGCATAATTAATGCAATTAGTCCAGTGTGGTTTACAAGATCTTTCTTCTTAATATATATAATATAGTTTTGCTCTGTTTTATTCTTTCTGTGGGTTTTTTAATTTATTTATTTTTTGGCATATATGAGAGAGTTACAGGAAGTTGCGCAAAAAGTTTGTCCCGAGTCCCTCATTAAAGAGGCGTGAGTTTGAATGTCTTATGATGGCTCAGACTTATTTGCTTTTGATGATGCACACCTTTCCTCATTTTTTATTTTGCAAACATCAACTCTTTGCTCGACGATAATATTTTTTCTGGCTCTGCGTGCGATCATTTTGAAGCAACCACGGTGTGCACACTCCGTCATTAAATCAATATCAGTATAATTACGTTTAATTTTGATATCGAGCAGCATTTTCATGTAATTACACGTTGTGCGCGCTTATTTGATAATCGTCCATTCAGCACTCTAGAAAAAGAGAACGAGATCATCTTGTCCTCGGCGTTCGCAGCTACTTTCGGTCTATTTACGGGGGGCGCCGCGCTGAGGCCATTATAAAAATTATGGCAATCATCCAAAATTGGGCAAATTTCTCTCCAAAACTTAATCACGGCGTCTTTTCAACAAGCTAGCGAGCGCTCGTTTTGAAAAGCGTCGCTCTTCAAACATGATTTTTTTTTCGGTGATCGGCTGTGAATCTTAAACAGAAATTAGCTAGTGCATTAAAATTCATGCGGCGATCTGAACGGTATTTATCGGGCCATGTCTGATCTTAATTTAATTAACCACTCAAAATCTGTCAACAACACTACGTGTTTGGCATGCTGATTAAAATAGAAAAAATTTAGACAATTAAATAACAAAAGTTTACAATAGCATCCTTCGTATCCTGAATCAAGAAAATAATATTATTAGAAAATATTTGGACACCATCAGGTTGATTTATTCATTTCCCTTCAAGTGACTCATAATCACTAATATAAAGTAATCTAAACGACAAAGAGAGGCTATAATTATTGCGATTACCTCATGCTATTGGCATTATTAGGAGAGTGGAGCAAAAACTTCTCGCAGGTGGTCGGTCTCTCCTTTTCAGGCTGCGAAGCTGCAGCAGCGAGTGAAAAGACTTCTTGAAATTAAAACAGCCGCGCATCTTACCATATTCATGCTCTGTTGGTGAGCGTTCGCTTGGAGAAATTTCTTTAATTTCAATGGATAATTCATTAAGCTAGGCATTTAGAGGTCAATCTAAGGCTAGATAATTATTTTATTGGAATAATGATTTAATTAAAATTTAAATGTGCATGTGAATAAAAGAATTCGTTTGATTGTCAGTTGTGAGTCACACATAAAAATACCTGTCGCTTTGGAGGCACTACCATAGGTAAAAATTCCACACAAGGTATGAGAGTATAAATTTTAAAAAGAATTTTTTTTTTAATTTCTTCAGAATTTCTTGAAATTAATTCGAACCTTGTTCGAACAGTTGAAAAAAAAATATGATTTCTTTGCAATTATATATTTCCATATTTTTTCTTGACCAAAAAAAAAAGAAAACAAGAAAATAAAAATAGTAAACATTAAATTTCATACAAAATATTTTATAAAAAAAGTCTTATAATTATTATGAATGACTATAAATATATAAGATTTTTTAAATCTTTAATATTAATGCCTTCTAAATATAATTTTTTTTTTAATGAAACACAAAGTTTCATGCAAAATTCAAATAATGTTAAATCAAATTTTAATAAAAAATAATTTCTATAAAGAAAAGGGAAAAACACAAAATGCAATGTCATACCACAGTGTTGCACAGTTAGGTTGGCATCACTTGTTGCGTTGGCTGCCCTGGTGTGCCACAGGTGTTTGTTTTCCTCAAGTTCGGCGATGATGGCGGCTCCCGAGGAGCTGTCCATGGACTCAATCCGAGCCTTCATGCTGTCCAGGGGCGGCACGGTGACCAACCATGAGCTCGTACGGCACTTCAGGTACTTCTTATCCAACGAGGAAACGAAAGGTAACAAGAGACCCCGCGTCTCTCTTTCTTTTTCGCTCTCAAAGCGGCCACGAAGGCTTTGTTTACACTCGTCCGCCCACTTGTTTGACGCCGTGTTTCCTCCTCTAAAACTTCAAATTTGAGCCCAAAAGGGCTCTCGGGGCCCTTATTATCATACCAATTTATCTCTGTGGCTGTTTTGAATTTTTTTATTGAAAATTTCACTTCTCGGCTGACAGCTGTTGCAATTCGCAACTCGGACAAAGGGTTTTTAGAGCAGAACGACAATTGGAATGCACGTTGCTTGCTACACCAGAAATTTATTTTTGTGTTTAAGGAGGTCGAATAATTTTAAAGGAGGTTTTCATTAATTTTTCTTTACGAAATGATGTTCATCGGCATTAAAAATTCCAGAGGCTTATTTATCAGACCAAAATTTTACGTGTATTTTCTATGAATCATGTTACTATTTATAGGGGTAGGGTGGTTCCTATTACGGAAAATAAAAACTTGGCTTCTATTCAATTCGTTGAATGTCTAAGACCCTAACGTTGTAATCCTCCTGCTGTGTCAGTCTCTGAGAAATAAGAAACAGATTTGGCATCATGGGAAATTTACTCGTAATTTTAGGTATTTAATTATTTTCTAGAATTTGGTGCAAAATTCATTTTTATTTCAATATCTTTATTTTAAAATTCAAATTATAAAGAAACAATTAAATTTGGGCCAGAGTCTGATACATTATAAATATTGAAATTGATTGAAATACAACCAATTTTCATCAACAAAATATTTATCAGATATTTATTAATAATCAATAAATAATTGAAATTATTCTTAACTATTAAATATCCTTCTTAGACGTAAACTCCTTTAATTGCGTTTTGAATTTTTATGTTTCAGTTCAAGCAAAAATGTACTTCAAGGAATACGTAAATACGCTGGCTCACATAAGCAAGAATGAACACGGCGAAAAGTACCTGACCCTGAAGCCCCGCTACCAGGTCTCGGCAGGCCCTTATTTAGGTCCTGCGTGTCCCGCCTCACCAAGTCCGTCGTACAGCGGTTCCCTCTTGTCTGTTTCGGGGATGTCAGTCGAAAACCTGATAGCCGCCGACTCCCCTGGCCGAGTGCCGCCCCCATACCGGCCTCCACCGCCCCCTGTGGTCTCTCCGCAGAGATTCGGTGGTCCGGCGCCACCACCCTATGTAGGCCCTCCACCTGCCCTCCGCTTGGTTGAAGGTCAGGAGGTGATGGGCATGGACCCGCCGCCTCCAGTGCCCCCACGGAGGCGCAGCTCAGACAGGAGCCTTGGCAGCAAGGAGAACTTGCTGGTAGGGATGGATGTCCCTGCCGAGCCTGTGTTCGGGCCCAAAACTGAAGGACAAGAACATTTGCACAAAAGGGTGAGTCAGTTATTATTGATGTTGCATATTTTTCTACTAGAATCACTGCAAAAAAAAGAAGTAGTGAAGTTGAAAATAATTTTAAAAATTAATTTAATAAAATAATAAATCATAATTTTGTTTAAATTTTTCTCTGAAAAAGAAATTAAAAAAAATTGTTTTTGTCATAATTTGTTGCTACCATTTGTTTAAAGCACCAATTTTTTGTTTGATAATTTGTCCGTTTTTTCTTGACATATTGCGGTCTCCTTATTTAGATCGAATTCTTGGGAATTTTCAAGATCTCTGTAATAATTTGCTCAGCTATCATTTACGCATTAAACTTGATTTGCATTGAAAAAGAAAATTTCTAAATCATCGTTTATTCTACTCTCGTCATGAAAAAAAAAATGAAATGGGAAAATAATAATGCATAATTTAATTGCTGCGTACAATATTGATAATGTTGCACAATCATCATCATCATAGGCCATAGATATGAATAATTTTCATTTAACCTCTGACAATTTTTAAATCTAAATTAAAATTATTTCTATAGTAAGTAAAATTGCCTATACAATTCTTCCTTATTGTCCCAAATTAAGACTTTTAGAGCACAGACTTAAGTCATACACTTCTTAATCTCTTTTCTCCCCTTGTGACGACGACACTTGAAGTGATTCCCGAGTCAATATTTTTCATTTGGCTCGCTTATTTTGATCCAGTCGGGCAGAGAGCGGCCGAAAACACACGCAGCAGTTTTTCGTTTCTGTTTCGAGAGTGAGTAGCGATAAATTAGTTTCGTTTCATTAACGGCCGTTTTTTCCCTGTATCTCTCTGCCGCGGCTGGTAAAAAGAATGATAAATTTTCCGCCGCCCGATGCGGTGGTCATCGTCGCCACCCCCTTCCCACTTTTAATTCGCACAAATTTTTCATCTCATGTCATGTACCGGCGCCGCTAAACTTGTCGCACCCCTGCAACATTTATTTTTTTTTTCAAAATTTTTATATTTCAAATACAACTTTTTATTACTGCCGCCGCTCATATCATGTTGGCTGGTAATTTACGGCCTGTGCTTTTTATGACAAGTTTGTTTAAATTTTTTTCAGGAGAGTGCTTCGTCACTGGAAAAAGAACCCGAGGCGAAAATCAGCGTCAAAGAACGCACGCAAAAATTCAACCGCATGGCCTCCGAGGGCGACACGCGACAAGTGCTCCAGCAGTTCAACAAGAAGAAGATCGACAAGGTCAGCTTTTCTTTAATAAAAAAAACGTAGATATATAATATTTTATTATTAAATTAAAATAATATTATTTAATCATTATTTGTTTTTCAACAATTGGAGTAATCCATAAAAATATTATCCAGTGAATTTTTAAATTTAGTTTCATTTTGTCCCCTAAGGTGTTAAATTAAATGAGCGGATTCACAATTTCGCCTGGAATTTTATTTATATGTGTTAGCGTAACAGCTTGGAAGTTGCTGCTGCGGTTCGAGAAACTTTGGAACAAGCCAAAGTTTGCAGCTAAGAAGTTGTGAACGCAAATCACTTGCGAAAAGGGGAGCCAACCGAACTGGTTGTATCTTTAATTAATTCATTCCGGGCGTTTAGCTACGCCCTCCAACTTGCTACGAAACGAAATTGAAATAAGAAATGAGATAGTGGTGAAATTTTATTCGTACATAGTTCGAGATCACTTGAGCTGGTGTGCGTCGGATCGTGTTTTAGGGTGTTCCAGAGTTATTTGCCAAGTCATGAAAGCTTCATCTCTGTTTGTTTTCTCCCGCTGCGAGCACAAATTGCCCCTCTCAAAATAATTCGTTATTATATGCACCGATTGTTATCAGCACTGGCGCCTCCCAAGAAATTAAAAATCACCAGGGAAACTCGCTTGCATATATTAAATTATATTCATGAGCGCGCGGTCACCTTCTTAGGCTGCCATGGATATTAATTAATCAGAAATCGAGATGACACCGAGATTTTAATTTCGAGATACGGAATTAATTTCATGCGGATGGGGAGAAAAAATTAATAAATATCCCGCGTGTGTGTGTGTGTTGCGAGAGAGGCGAAGGCAATTTGTTTTGCGTCTTGTCTCCGGGGGTTTAATGAGCTGTCTGTCTGTTGGTTTTTCTCCGTGTCCAATCAATGACTGTGCGCTATTCGTAAATGACACGCGCGATGATTAGCAAAGTCATCCTCTCTCTTTCTCGCTCACTCCCGAACAAGCTTGTCGATCAACACAACACTCAAAATACAATAAATAATAATAAATACAGCACCGATCTTGGATCAACAAAACTTAATTCATGCTTGATGTCTCTGAAAATATTCAAACACTTTTTTTCTAATATTATCCAGCTTCAAGTATTTTAATAAAATTATTTTATTTTATTTAATTATTTTTTTGAAGTTTTTTCTGGTCTATTAATGATACTTTTTTCCGCGTAGTTGAATTTTCCGACGCAATTAGATTTGCACATTTCCCCCCTGCCTAATCGTATCATTGTTGAAAGAAAAATTAATCGTAGTTTTTACCCTTGTCATAGTTGATCGGTGCGCATTGTCTCTGGAGCTCAATCGCGACCATCTTCCATCTTCTTGCTTGAGCTCCATTGTTTGTCAAAGCAAATATCATCCAACAAATGGAAATCAATCGCTGGCAGCCGCGGGGGCTCGGTCATGCCGTAAATAAAGCACCACTTCACAATAATTAGATCGCCCATTGTTTCCACTCTGCGGAATTTTCCTCAGGCTAACACTCGCCGCTTGTGCTCATTCTAATCTGAAACTGCTATCCCAAGCATAGATACAGGCATTTCCATCACGGTAATGACTCGATATTATTCACCACCTGCGTATTTGACTTAAGTAAAATGGGCCTCTCAATTACAGTCAAAATTACTTAATTTTGTAATAATCATAATATTACTCTGCATAAACGCGTTTGTTTTATTTTTACGCTTCTTTAGTATTTTTATAATATACTTAAAATAAAATATATAAATTCATTTTAAATTTTCCTTTTTTTAATATTTTTATTTAATAAATGCCTATTTTGTTTAAAAAAAATTAATTGAGGAAAAGGCCTGTCTCTAATTTCACCAAGCAAAAATTTCCTCCATTTTTTTCTCTCTGCGCTTCATTCACGAAAAAATAGAAAATCTAATTTTTAAATTTTGATTTCAGGGTGCTGACGAGGAGGAGGCGCGGCCGGTGAGTTTGACGCTTGCGAAAATGGAGCGTTGTGTTTAAGTTGAAATTTTTGTTCAGTTGGACCAGAAGGACCGCGAGTGGCTGGCCAAGGCGTCGCAGGTGGACTACCAGGCGCTGGCCAAGTTGGCCGCCGAGAAGCCCAAGCTCGTCCTGCTCACGGTGAGTACAAAAACCGCGAGTGCTTTGGCTCGGAAAATTTGAACAAAACCAGCGGACGAATAATGCCGCTGGTAACGTGTATTCAGCCTTGTTGGCCGCTGTTTATTTGCATGTTAGATATTGTTTCATAATCCGACAACACGCGCCAGCCGCGCGTTGCCATTATTCAGCAACAAAGAGCCACCGCGTTTTCGCTTACAAAAGGGAGAAAAAGGCCTGGCGCTCGCGTTGTTTCTGCTTTTGAGAGCCTCTCTTTCTCTCGCGGCAGCAACAAAACGCGCCCGCTTCAACCCCGGCCGCAGCGATATACCAGCCATAATGGGCCCACTTAACATGCTGACATTATTTAAAACGTAACAACCCCAAAAATCGTATAAGTCAGCCGCATTTTGAGCACCCGACTGCGGCTCATTATTATAATCAAGTGGTTCGCGAGGGTCGCGTGCGTTGCGCCGAATAATGGAATGGGCCACTCGAGTTCTTTCACTCTGGCCGTCCGTTCTATGCTTATCAGGGCCCGCCTTTGTTTTGCAACAGATTGCTCAACGGAAATTGCACTTTCAAATTTAATTTTCTCACGGCTTACGGTGTGTTATTTCAAAATAACAATAAATATCAATGTGGTTCTGCACTGTCATCTAGTCTGAACTTTCAACCTCCAAAAAATTGCTACCGCTCATTCAAACCGCGGATCAAAATGCATAAATTGCATTTAAAGGGCTTTGAATAATAAATTGTAGCTCTGGCATTTATTAATTTGCAACATTTATAAAAATATTTGCTGCACTTATTATTTCCTTTTGAAGTTTTTTTAAAAAATAATTCATTTATTTAATTAATATATATTTATTTAATTAATATATATTTATTTATACTAATAAATAAAAATTATATAATTAAAGACAATTTAAGACGAGGCTCATCTCAGCACCTCTTTTCAGATGCAGGCATTCTAGCAACTGAGCAACCAGATTTGCCTTCATTAAATTTTATATTTTTCTCCCAATTTTATATTTTGATCTAATTCATGAAAAATCAAATTAATGCAATTCCAATTTAACTTTTGGATATGAAAGGTAGAGTAGAGTTGATTGTTTATTTAGATTTGCTAAAATATGCTCATGAGAAAACGCTTATCCGGAATATTTAAAATAAACAATGAAATGTAAAAAAATTGTTAAATTGTATTTTAGAAACAATAATAATTGGAGTTTCATATTGAATTATTGCTGTAAGCGTATATGAAGTTGAATTTTAACATAAAACGGTATGGTCGAGCAATTGTCGACTGGCGTCAACCTCGAGGGATCGGCGCTGCAAAGTTGGCTGCGTGTGAGCGCCTCTAATTGAATATGTGCATTTCAGAGCAGGCACCTATATCTATTCTATATGTACGCACGTATGTATAATGTGTATGTACCCACACACGAGACCAACCCACTTGCATTATATATATATGTAGATACGGCAGCACTCAATTTTCGGCGCGGCCACCCGGCAGCGCACTAGTGCGAGCGCCGAGCGAGAGAGGATTTAGCTGTTGTAGAATTATAACTAGAGGGATGATAGTTCGGTCGGACGGTCGGTCGGTTTAATTAATCCATGCTCTCTATTGCCGCTGCGCCTCCCATCCGTGTACCAAACTGCTCTCCACTGTCGAGTGCATGCATATTCAACACCCCAAAGGCTCCGTCTGACACACACGCGCGCACGCCGAGAGGGTGCAGATTACAGCGCAGCACTAATCCTCACAAAGCTGCACATTCCGAATCCATAATGTGCTTTTGTTTACCACCCATAGCGCATCATTCCCGCCCAAAAACCCTGTACCTCCGCGCCCATAACTCTAAATAATTTATTGGTTTATAAAAAAATATATTTTATTAAGTTTTTCCTTTCGTATATTGTTGTTTTGGATTTCATACAGCTCAAATTTTCTGTAAATCCCGTTGAGAGTGTTAGTATAATATTATTGATATATCGGTTCCTTGCGTTTATAAATATATTAAATGAGCATCTAAAAATAATTTAATGACGTTTTTAAAGCAAATATTAAATAATATAGCCCATTTTTATCTTGGTGCTGGATTTTAGCGTGAAAATGTTCACCAGCAAACACCTTTTAACTTGACAGATAGACAAATTTCACAGCTGCTCGCCCATATTCTCCCATCTTTATTTCTGTTTTGACTCCATCGGCAATGAATTAAAAAGTCTCGCAGCAGCGAGGTGCTTTGATCAACCTAATCAACGGCGATATCGCGCAAGTACACAAACTCTCTCTAGCAATAATTTATGGCCTCAGATGTTCATTTTACGCGGCAAGAGAAAAATTCCGAGCCGTAAAATATATAAACTGTTGGATCCGCTCCAACTCCATTCACCAGCCGAAAGTAGCCGCGGAGAAGTAAAAAATGGGCAGGAAAAATCGCTCAGCGCGTGATGCGTGATGGGAAGTGAGGCCCTAATTTGTCTCCGTATAACCCCGCGAGAGACTCCTTTAACCCGGGTCTTGTCGGGTCGTGACTCCACAAAGAATTATTCAAACGCCGATATCAAAAGTTGTTTTCTCGTAGGATGAAAATAATAAAAAAATGCATGAGGTTCTTTCGTGTTTTGTGCCGTTAAAAAGCTCGACGGCTCATTTTCGAGAGTGAGAGAGTAAATTGGGAACATGTGCTGCGACAAGGGCGTCTTGTAAACTAAATCAAGAGTGTGTGATATAAAATTAGACGTGCCACTGCGTCGCGCTGGTATTAATTTGGCGTGCGCCTAACAAGTCCTCTTACAAATGTCGACAAATTTCTTCTGCCAAACGAGGCCTCAACTTCGAAATGCTAATTGACCGAATTGGCGAGTTTTACAATTTTTGTGTGTGTATTTTTATTTAATTCGCGCCGCATGTCATACAAATCGAACAAATGGCGCCGGAATGCAACAATAGAAGAGTGATTTGGTCCCGAATCGATCGGAATGTGGCGGAAAAAAGCAGCGAAATTTCCGCGCTCTCAGGTATATTGTGGACCGCTTAATTGGTCTCGGAGCTTTTTTCGCGTGGCGCCAGCAACGAGTGCATTCCCGACATTCCCCTGCTGTTATTACACGACCGCCGAACAACCCTTTCGTCGCAGCACCAGACTGTCGTGGTCATCGGAAGAGCTGTAGGGTCTGTCGTCGAGTGACACAAACAACAGCAGAGCAGGTGATCCCACCGAACACGCGTAATTCCCAATTGATGGATTTCGTGCTCGCGAGCAATTAAAAGTGTTTTTAATGCGCGCAACACGATCAGGAAGTGCATTAGTAGTGCAAAAAATGAACAAATGTGAATGCAATTGAACGGAAACTGAAAAAAAATGTAATCAACAAAAACACAAAAGACAACGCTCTCTCGGTGAACAAATTAAATTTTAACGTGTTTGCAAAAAAAATTGCAAAACACTTTTATTAAGCGAAATTGAATCCAGCAAGTTGAACACCTGCAACCTGAAACTTTTTGCGCGCAGCTCCCGGGCAGAGATGAAATATGACCCCTGACTCGTTTAATAAGCCAATAAATAAACTTAAATTGTCGGCCCGCCGGTGATGCACCGTTAATGAATAAACCTTTCTCGCATCTCTCTCGTGCTCGTTATTTCCAATAACCCTTTCTCAATAGATCGGCCGATTGGGAACGGCTTCACTGTAAACGTCATTAGCATGCGACTTGGAGGGAAAGCAATTTATTGGCCGTGTGGTAATTAGTTTTTCCAAAATAAACACAAGTCATCGAGCGTTACGTCTCTTTGCTGCCGCGCGCGCTCCACGATTTATTTCTTTTAATAATATTTTCGGTCGCGCAATAATTCAAAATGCTTGAGCTCGTAAAATATATAACGTCTCTCGCGACGGCAGCGCAGCTTTTTAATATCCCTGGCCGGGTATTTTCGGTTCGAGCGCCTCGCTTTCGCCGGCGCAATGAATCACCCCGTTTCGCCAAAATCCAGTAGAAATTCAGATTTTGCAAAAATTTTCTCATCTCCGACAAGAAAAAGACGAATCGGAAAAGAGAGAAAGAAGAAGAGACACGGAGACCACCCAAGGCTGATACACATTTGAATTGTGACATGAGCGACGAAACATAATTGGGGCTGGAGTCGCGTCATTAGTGACATCCAAACAAACGTGCCCGCGACCGACTTGGCCTCATCTATCATCACAAGCGAGTGATCCACGATATATATTCCACGTCCGCCGAGATATTAAACTAGCGCCTAGTCAGTCAGTCACAACAAATAAATTATCGTCCTAGCTGTCTGGAAAAAATTTGGTCCAATATTCTGATGCGAAAATAAATTTTATATTTCTTTTGAATGAACCTGCTGGGTGAATAATTTTGGAATTAGAAGGGAGAGGTGTTATGGTGCCGGAGAGAAAATTTATGGGCCTGTTGGAGGCAGGAAATGCGCGGCCATTCAAATATCGGGGGGCGAAAAGGTGTGGGTGCCGCGCAGACTGACTTCGGCCGCGGGAATCGAAAAACGCGATGGGACCAAATGATATCGCGTCCAATAAACGGCCGGCCCATTCATAAAAAGGCAGACCGTCGTAAAGATGTTGGTGCTGAAAAAGCAAACAAGCGATCGCGCGCGAAATTAAAAAAAAAAGACAAGCTCTTCCCGGTCGCTATAGGGGATGATGTAAAACAACGGTGCCTGCTGGAAACGATGATTGGCGCCTCGACCTGCCTATTCTCGTATTTGAACGAGAGATGCTATCGCACGGACACCTCTTGTTAAAACTGTCCACCTTATCGAGATCTCTCCGGCCAACCCACCTAGCCGCACAAATTATTTACGAGAGAGGAGAAATAAAAAGGCCAAGTGTGTTGAATCAGATTTGTAATGATTTCAAAATCTCCAATTTCATTTTTTTTTCGTTTGAAAAATGTTTTGAAGAGTTCACCTTTTACTGATTTAAGAAATTCTTGGAAATTCACAAAAATTTTTCTTTTTAATCAC